GATTCGCAGAGGTCTAGCATTGAGAGGAAGGCAGGGAGATGAGAACTAGTGTGAGCCGCAGAAAGAGCAAAGAAGTCCGAGTAGAGAGAGACATAGCAGGCCAACCTTGCAATGAGGATAAGATATCGAACGTTGCGTGGGCTGTGATTCTCCTTGGTAGGATTTGATCAAAGTCTTCAGCGTCTAGCGTCTTACAATTAGTGACGCTTTCGACGTGAAAGATGGCGCGAACTCTGCAGTGGCGGACCACACACGTCTACTCACTGGAACGACTATTTCAGTGAGGCTGAAACTTGACCTCCCATGTATGTAGCACCAATGCGTCCACCTATCTCTCCTGCTGCTCTGTTTTGAGTATCCCTGCTATATCAGTCATAAGCTTTGTGTTAACATAGTTGACCAGTGGTTCAGGTTGCGCTTCGGTTTCAAACTAGTTTTCCTTTCCTTTTTTACACCTATTTTTATCGCTCAATTTAAGATCTGCTCGAAATTTGGTCGGTACTCCGAAGAAGAAGGTCGTTGTGTATGTGATGGCGACTATGTTGGAGAGCATTGCGAGTCACGTTGCCATGGATGGGTCAATCAAACGACTGGTGAGGCACCTTCACGCTCTAACAATTTTTCCCTTAAATGAGGTCACTATTTTGCCGAACTACGGCTTTCATTTTTTTAAACGCCATCACTAAAGGCTTACTGAAATATTTGGTGGGTACAGGAAGTGAGCAAGGGTCAAAAAATTCAGGAGATTATCAAGTGAATCCTGAAATGGGAAACTCGCGGATTTTCTTGCATAAGTCTAGGTAGAAAAGCTCTAGAAAGGGTATTAACAGTTCATTGGAGGAAAACAACTCAAGAAATTTTCCAACTTCAGAATAACTTCAAAAAGAAATCGTATGTAAATATATAGCTTGCCTGGGAAAGACAAATTGATAATGTTTAAGTGATTGTGTAACCCATACCGCCATTCAAATATCATCTCGAACTAGGCGGGAAGTAGAAGGCGGTGCACTTCCTAGAAGGGACTGACCAGCGCTCCAAGTTTTCCTAGGCAAAGCTGACAAGCTGACACTTAACTTCCAGGTTAATGTTTTTGTGCCCTTTTTTATGGCCTTGTCGCATTCGCTTGGCTTTATTTATAGTTGCTGGTCTTGCTGGTCTTTTTCGCTTTTATATTTATTTCGATGATTCATTATTATTATCTAATGATGTTTTTTTTTCACATTTTTGATTTGAGGGCTGAAGATTTCTGGAAACCAAATCTGGCGAAATTTCTACTTTCCAGTAATTATTTATGTTGAAAATGCCGATATACCAACTTTCTAGGTGAATGCCTTTGTTCGGGCCGCTTATTCGGAAAAGCTTGTGATTTGGTCTGCGTCGAAGGTCAAGTAATCGACGGGAGGTGTAGATGCAGAGAAGGGTAGCTTGGGGACCACCAGCGACCTGTAAATCCTAAGCTGTTAGCCCTTTCAATTTCAAACTCTTGGGAAACTTATCATTCCACTGTTTTCTTGGAAATTTCAGTAAAACCGACATCATAAATGACCTGTTCCTTCAGGTTATATGGGAATGTCATGCGCAACCTGTGATCCAACTTCTGGACGTGAATGCGAGATTCCGTCGAAACGACGCGGTGCCGTCAATTCTCGCCTCACCCTCAGTGGTCTCTCCTTTTGTATGATAACTATAGGATTGTTGTGTGTCACGGCAAGGTGATTATCAGCTTTCTATTTCACTCCGTGATTTTTCTCTGAAGTAGCGTAGTTCAGGCGACGTCGCGCTGGCCCTTTGCCAGCTTCTGAAGACACTTGGTATCGAGTGTTTCAGCCAGCGCAGACAAGAGCAGCTAGGTTCGCTGATTAGCCTTTGATCTCTTGACCTTATGTTACATTTTGTCTTCTTCTAGGTGTCGTCATGATTTGATGTGCGGCGGTTCATGGATCCCACGTGACAGAGCCCTGTTGGTGGCTCCCGGCCGAGCTGCTGTGCTTCACGGAACAGTCGAAACTCAACGTGAGAATGGCCTCCTTTTCTCCTCTTACCAGGAAGGTCTTTCAGGGGTGCCAAGGTTCAAAGCGGTCTTTTGCATGATATAGGGCACATGCGGGAACCACAGAACCATGGTTAATTCCTTTCCTAAACGGCCCTCTGAATACCAAAAAGGGGGTCCCTATTTTCGATTCCTCGTGGTGCCAAATTTTTGAATTCAGGCGCAAAATGGTTTAACTATAATGAACTATGAATGTCATATTCATAATTAGGACCGTCAGTAAACATGTCAACTCGAAATGCAAAAGTTTGTCACCGCGAGGAATCGAACCAGGAGCCCCATTTTTTGTTTCTCAGGGAGCCGTTCAGGAAAAATCAACCGTGGTCTTGCGGTTCCCGCTGTGCCCCTATATCATACAAAAGACCGTTTTCAAAAACCCCCTGAGAAACCTTCCTGGTTAGAACTAAAGCACCTCTTGATAATGTTATCGTTAATAGTTAATATCAGCAATATTTTCAGTCGAGGGCGACGAATGGCCACGCCTCCACCCAGTTACACCTCAGTGGACAGTCTGGCAGACGACCAATCACCGCCCACATACGAAGAAGCAACGCGAATCATGGAAAACTCTACGAATAGCGCGGCCTTGATCCAGGAGCTGATCGACGAGACCGTGCAGACCGTTGAAGCCAAGGACGAGTCACTACAAGTAGCCGAAGGCAGCACCAACGCCACGACACAGACATCAACTCAAGACGATGAAAACGCTAACACACAGACGATGGCCACCTCGATCTGACCCTGGCAGGTGTGAGCATCGAGCTGCTCGTTTTTCATGAGACGATAAGCTGGCAGTAAGAGATTATCACTTTAATTACCAGTCCCTTATCACGCTTTGCCTGTGACAGCTGCAAAACAGTAGAAGGCCTTACTGCTTACAAAAAATTTGATGCTAAATGTTAGCTGTCTGCCAAAATAAGTGGATGTTTGCTTTATCCCTGGTACAGATTGGTAACAAAATGCGCGATGGTTTGCAGTGTACAAGGGCAGCGGTCAACCGGAAGGCTTGGTGATTCAGTGTTTTGTAGTGTTCTCTGGGCACTCTCGCATATGCACACTATTACAGCATCTCTGCTTTCTTTCCTTCAAAAGGCTTAGTCCTAGAAAAGCAGAAAGTATGTGCTTTTCTGTCTGGACTCTCACGCTTTGGTTGACCACTGCCCGATGTTCTTCATCCTTCTGTTTTGAGTGGCTCCCTTACAGTTAATGGGGTGTGCCGCTGCTGGACACTAAAAAACTAGCTTATCACAATTCTTGCCATATTCAAAAGCCGTGTGTTAGTGATTTCCCGAAGAAACAAGTCTAGAGAATATTCTATGATTCATGGGTGACGCAGGTATCACGCATAGCTTATGAAAAGAATATCTTGAAAAAATGGCGTACGTTTTTGTAATGTCTTTGTAGGGCTTTCAGAAAATCTGCGCACTTGTCGAAGTGCGCGGCGCATGCTGGAAGTCTGGATGGAGTTCCAGTTACGCCAAATACTTCCCTTTTGACTCGTTTTAAGCTGATATACATAGCGCATAGTAGTTGTAAATATTTTTTTTGTCAAGGGTGAAGCTCCCATTGGGGGGGGGTCCCTGTTTATATTTATCCTTTAGTATTACGATATTTCTTTGGACTTTAACCCTATCCTACTATATATAATCGGCTAAGCGGTTGTGTGTGTGTCTGTGTGTGTGTATGTGTTTGTCTGTCTGACCGGAAATTCATAGCTCGGGCACCAGTGGTCGTCAGGAGTTGGTTTCAAGATATGATATAGGGGGTGGGACGGGAACATATTTGGTGGGGTAAAGAAAGTGATCACAACTGATAAGGGCTGATAAAAGGCGCTAGAACGCAAGTGTCGCGAAATTCATAGCTCGGGCACCAGTGGTCGTCAGGAGTTGGTTTCAAGATATGATATAGGGGGTGGGACGGGAACATATTTGGTGGGGTAAAGAAAGTGATCACAACTGATAAGGGCTGATAAAAGGCGCTAGAACGCAAGTGTCGCGAAATTCATAGCTCGGGCACCAGTGGTCGTCAGGAGTTGGTTTCAAGATATGATATAGGGGGTGGGACGGGAACATATTTGGTGGGGGTCACAAAGTGATAACGACTGATATGAGCAGATAAGAGGCGCTGAAACACAATTTCACAAAATTCATAGTGCGCTTCGCAGCAGTCGTCAGGAACTGATTTTGGGACATGATATAGGGGTTGGACGGTAACATATTTTGTGGGGGTCAAAAAGTGATAACGACAGATGAGGACTGATAATTACGATATGCGTACGAACGTAGAGATTACTCGAAACCAGATTGCAGATAATGCATTTCATTTCAATATCATTTCATTAGCGTTATAATTGTAAATTCAAACACCTTTCAACCGCTACACCTTCTAGAGTTCTTGAGGATGAATGGGATGCTCTAATAAATTTGATAGTGAATACTGGGCATTCCGTCTTGAGATTACCAAAAATTATTCGACCGCTAAATTTCCTCGATTCTCGATGCATGGTGGTTGTTTACATACATCACTTTAGCTGTGCACTTCACTGCGCTTATCAAACAGTGAGATACAGCCAAGATGGGCAACGGACAGTAATGCATTTAACGAAGCAGCTATAGTTAAGCGGTGAAACCCAAAGCTTCACCGATTGTCAGTTTTGTCAGAGGCTTCCGTGTCATGCGCGCGGTAGCGGGCGGAGCTAAACTGGTATAAAATAATAGGTTCGACTCATTTCAAGTGCACTTTTGATAAGGACCGGTGTATGCCTACATCACGCACATCCTGCTCACATCCTAGGCAATTTATGGCATGTGATCGTCCACCCTGAGCTCCTACACCCTTGCGCCTAGGAAAGGATGTCCATACCCTAGTTCCCGGCCTACCGCTACCTCCTTCGTACCACACCAAGCCGAAACTGAAGACTCAGAAGGTAGCTCCACACACACGGTCCTTATCATAAGCCCGGTTTAAATTGAATCGTTTACGTGTAAAAGAAATTATTCTTTATCCTTAGTAATTGGAGAGCCAAGGAATGTCCTCGCCCCCCCCTCTCCACCTTGAGCTGGAGTTCTTTACCTCGATCAACCCTTTCTTTCCTGTAAAGGCTTACGCTTCATTTAGACTAAATGCTCGAAAAATTGGCTGAATCGCGAAGTGTTCCAAGTGATCCTTGTCAGCTTATTCGTGATATCAGCGATTTTCTAATGTAGCGCAGTTCAGGGCGCAACCTTCTCGGCATTGCCATTTCGCGAAAACATCGACGTTTTCCGTGTAAATATAACCTGCTTGCGAGGTTTTCTTAGGCCGGTATAAGTACGTTTCTAGACATTTCACAAATTTTTACCTTATTCACGTGTTTTTTTTTCCTCTCTCTGCACTGATAGTTCATAGTTTTCTTTTTCACTGAAGCTTTCTGTCACAAAAACATACTTCTCGATGATTATTTGTAGATTTTACGAATGTTTATGAGATCCATGCCTGACAGACCACCATCACCACAAGTGCATTGGGTTCAGCGTATCTCTTGTATTATTTTTTCGTATCAAATTTCTATCGTATTTGCTCTGTCTTTTTACTTCTTATCGCTTTTTTTATCATGACCATCAAAATGTATTTTTACTTTGAAACGGGTCTCATAGATTGTTATTTCTGGAAAATTGTTCTTTAAAAGAAGCATAAATATGTGAAATAAAAATTGTTAACGTTTGCAAGATCAATTATTTCCGTTTCTAACTGATGCATTCTTGGCGTAGCGTCGCTCATTCAGCGATACGTGGACAGCATCTTGCAGCTCCTCTCTGTAGCTTTAGCAGCACTGCTGGGTAAAAGTTGAAGAGGATTCCAGACGACCAGTAAAATTTGGCTAAGTCGTCGTCACCTGAATCTCCATTATGCACCGGTCACTCACACGTCATCGCGCTTCCGTCGAGCACTCCCATCTTCGTGTCACTCCTGTAAGCAGACCTGTAACAATTGCAAATTTAGTGACCACTTGGCATCAGATAGTATCACGAGCATAAAAAAAACACATGGTATCGGTTTTCTCAGAACCAGGGTGAAAATCGTGTCGAGTAACGTGGTTCGCAGACATGTATGATCCCTCCGAATCGAGATCCTGGCACGACCCCTTAAAACAGAAGCAAATTAATTCAATTAATAATCAAAAAAATCCTGCAAAATAAAAAAAAAAAATCCTGCAAAATAATCAAAAAAAAAATCCTGCAAAATAATGTATGGACGCCTCATCTTGTCATCTATGCACTGTCTTTCATCGCTGCACACTTTTGTGTATTTACTGAAATATCGACTCGAGGAAAGAGGCATTAACTTTGTGTGACCTCAAGGCGAGGTTCGTTCAGAAATGCACAGAAATCCTGAAGGGGGTTGCGATTCAATCTTGATTCTTGCTTGAGTATATCGAAAACAGCCGAGTGTATCAATCAGGCCGATTCAACGGCAGCTGCGGCGCGATTGTCACTGGGTCAGATTTGCTGAAATCCCGAAAAAAAAACCGTCGAAATCTACACCCTCGATGAAAAGGTTGCATTCCTCCATTTCATAACCTTTGAAGCAGTTTGAGGTAGGGTTAGATAGAGCTGGATTTCGCGTTTCCAAGAAGTATTGAAATTGCTCTGAAAGTCCTTCCATGCAGAAAGATAGGGTCTCTCAAATTTCGTCGAGTAAACGTCGAGGACGCTGAAATTTTCATGCTAGTTTTTGCCACTTCAAAAGCAATATCTCTCTAATGTCGTAAGGTCCTGAAAAAGGGAAGATAGTTTTGGAAAGCGGAAGGTTTGCGCTTTCTGATGGTCTTCTTAGCTTTCTTCTACATTTCCTAGTTGAGAAGATATCTGCGTCGAGTATGTATCGAGGACGGATCCGGCCACCTGAAAATCCGCTCCCTCCTTCACCATTTGCAAGTGTAATTGTTGGCAACGCTTGAAATGGGTCTAGAAAACATCCTCCCAACATAAGCAATAGGAAAAGGGGCAATCGTCATCATCGAATTTTGTCTGAGTATAGGCCATGCATCCGACCTCACTCGAAGTTGCAGAATCGATTCGAAGGTGTCATATGATCATGACCAGTTGACAGAAGCTGCATTGTAGTAAACGCATTTCGTAACTCCTACAACCTAAAGAACAACTTCATTTGCCCAGGGCTTTTCCTTCACGGTTGTCGTTTTTGCGACAGGGTCCCTAACAACAGTGTCATTCTCAGCGAGGTATTAAGGGAGAAGGAGCGAGCGATAGGCGGAGGAGGTGCCTTTGCAGCGCGTGCGCACATGTGGCAGTCTTCTTTGCGGGGATGCACTTTCATTCTTCCTTCTCATGAAGGTGGAGGAATGGAGCGACTGAACCTGCAAAGAAAATTTAATATCATGTTTTTTTTTTTCAGATATTTTCATTTTCTGCTGCGCTATACCCTCTTACCTATCTGCACCACGATACCACTGCTGTTACTGACCCCAAGAGTACGACCCCCCATGGACCAGCCCGAACAGGTACGACCCCCTGTCGAGGATTTCCTCGACCGATATTCACCCTGATCGTGCCAGAACCGTCACTTACTGGGCGACGCTGTTGAGAAAGTAAAGGCAGAATTTACGATGAAAAGTTAGCTCATTGGAAATAAGGGTAGAGGTGGTCAGTGGAGCAGAGATGAAGAAGAAACCATTGAAACGGCCCGAACCCGAGAAATGGTACCCCTTCCTTGCCCGTTGATTCGCGCATTGATGCGACT